CAACAAAACAGAACCCATATGAAACAGATGTATGGAAAAAACATGCAAGGCGAACCTTCGCAGGCAGAAAGAGAGGCAATCACTCGTCCCACTGCGCGCCAAACAAGTAATACTGACATCTTCTGTTCTGGCTTTAGGTTCTGTAGATCTACGACTCCGATGATGTAGTTGTGGCTTACAGTTCTCTAGTGTAGTAATTCAATAGCACGGGCAGCAAATTGGCATGTTGACTACCACGGAGCGGAAGTCAAGTCAAGAGGCAAGGAAAACACGGAGCGGTAGGCACTGGCGGCATGGAGGATGGTGAATCCCTCAGCGAGATACACAAATGACCACTCACCATGAGTTCTATACGGGAGAAAGAGGAAGGACTACCGTCTTCACCCGAATAGAACGCCCGGTCATTATAGCTGCATTTGGTCTAACTTTCAGTCCAGATGCAGCGATAATGACCGGGCGTTCTATTCGGGTGAAGACGGTCATATCCGACCGGTTATCAGTCCAGATGCAGCGATTCTCAGCCGGTTATCAACGTTCCAAGTGTGCATTACCGAGTTAGTGTTCGTCGTTGTAAAACACTGGCTAAGGTAAGTGGGAAACGACGAAGCCAACCTGTTCCATGTCGAACTGGAAGATACACTGTAGTACTGCCCATGTGCACATTTGGCGAGAGGAGTGCAACGAGGCCTTGAGAGCAAAGCACGCGCATTTGTTAATTTTCGTCCTATACCTTGTTTGATGTGAGCAAGCGGTCTTACTGGCGTGGGTACTTGCGTGCATACTGCCGTTCTTGTCCGCCTCGCTTGGCCACCGTCATTCATACCGGCCTTTCTTTTCCTCTTTGCCGCCTCCTTCCCCGCTCTTTTCCTCTCGTCCGCCCCCAGCGTCCTCTCGCCTCACTCCCCGCGTTCATCCCCCCGGTCCCCCCGCCCCCGTCCCCCCCCGCAACCACACAAAGTCTTATTCCATCTCTTCGGTCAACCCTTTGCAGTTCCATTCCCCGCTCTTTTCTCTCTCCTGCTCTCTTCCATGTCCCACCTGTTCTCGCTGTCGCCCCCTCTTCCCACTGTTATTTATCGCTCCTGTACTGCTATCCTGTTATTATGGCAGTCGTGCATTCTATCCCCCTTTTTCCATCTTGTCGCAATTGCTCGAATCTGATTCCGCGCTCCCGCTCTCTCTCTCTCTCTCTTCTTAGTATCTGGCCCTCGAAGTCGCTGCAATCGTCAGAAAGAGCGAAATGTGCTTCTTCTCCAAAAGCGTCTTCTTCCTGCAATTGAAGATGGGGATCTATTTTTTCCCTGAAAGATAGCGGTAAAATGCGACCGATCTAGCACTCGAGGATCGCTCTCAACCTGTCTTTTTATGACTACCCTTTCCCGCAACGCAACGTATACCCTGATCATGAATGTATCAGACCTTAAGGATAGCTTGTATGCATTCAAGATCAGCGGTACGTTGTCATCGGGGGAGGACTGTATTGACGTTTACCTTTGACTACAAGCTTTCACCGATAAAAAATTCCTCTCGTCTACGATTTGGACATGTGTGTGCGTCGTCGGTGGATGGTGCAGCACTTGAGAGGAAGGATTGCCTTCACTGATTAATGCTATCGCGGTGAGGGCGAGGGTAAGGCTGTCCAAGAGAAGTGCGGGGAGGAAGTGTGAGGGAGGAAGCGAAAGTGCAGAGGGTTCCTAGAGGGGAGAAAACTCAGAACAGATAGAAAAGGTAAGTTCACACGGATAGACAGACAGACTGGCAGATAGATTTTCATGAGAGATCGATAACATTTAGGCAGAGACGGATAAATATGCCAGATAGATAGATCGATCGATCGATCAATAGATAGATACATAGAGAGATGGATAGATAGATAGATAGAGATAGATAGATAGATAGATAGATAGATAGATAGAGAGAGAGAGAGAGAGAGAGAGAAATATTGATAGATCGATAGATAGGTAGTAGGTAGGGAGTATTTGTCTCTTTGTGGCTTCTTTTCTCTCTTCCATTCCCTTTTTGGTGCTTAATCGTGTGCATGGTCACTCGAGCTAGAGGGAAAATGGAAAACATGAGGGCTTGACCAGCTCGTTGGCTTCCATTTCTTTGTTTTTCGATGGCTTCCTCCCTCCCTCCCTCTCAGCTTCCCCCTTCCCCCCCC